AATGAATGTGAAATAATTTGTGGAGATGATTTAAGAGCTGATGTGATCTACAAACTCCTTTTAAGACCAAGGCTTCTGTCACAGGTCAGTCAGGAGATCCTAGAGCTATTAAACACCACAACAGCCAAGGAACAGTCCATTGTTGAAAAATTTCGCTCACGAGGCCGGGCCCAAGTGCAAGAATTTTGTGACTATGGGACCAAGGAAGAGTGTATGAAAGCCAGTGATGCTGATCGGCCTTGTCGAAAGCTGCACTTCAGGTCTCTTGGAGGGAATGTGGGATGGCTTTCTCAGAAGCGGTCATATTCTTTCTTGTCATTCTTTCCAGTTTCTTTTTTTTGGGGGGGGGTCCGGTCGTGGGGCCTGAACTCTGGGCCTGGGTGCTGTCTCTCAGCTCTTCAGCTCAAGGCTAGTGCTCTACCACTTGAGCCATAGTGCCACTTCCGGCTTTTTGCTTATGTGGTGCTGGGAAATCAAACCCAGGGCCTCAGGCATAGCAAGCCAAGCGCTCTACCACTGAGCCACCTTCCCAGCCCCTCCTTTCCAGTTTCTGATTTGGCTAAGCCGTAAACTATGAAGGTACACTTAAACATACATGGGATGGGATACAGACTTCACTTTCAAATGGATAGGAGGCTTTTCCTTAATGGCCTCTTCCAGTAGGGTATTTTCTGTTGCTGACCCACAGTGAAAATATATGTCTTGGAGAAATAGGAACCTTGCCTCTTAGGGCAGTGTTTTAGTCTGCTCTATCCATCATCCAAGCCCTTCCTGGACTTGAAAAGAAACAAGAAAGCCAAGTCTTTGTTTAGAGAGGAATTAAAATTATTTGTGAACTATAGATTGCTTATCTAGTCTTTTCATCAAACTCTAATAGAACATATTAAAGGAGGTAAGTAAGATAGGAGACTTTCCACTATTTGTGAAACTTGAATTGTGGGATGTACCTCTGAAGTACCATCTTAATTCCAATTCTTCCTTTTTTCTTTTGTCAGACGAATTATCAATAAACACACTGATGAGTCTTTAGGTGACTGTTCGTTCCTTAACACATGTTTTCACATGGATACGTGCAAATATGTTCACTATGAAATTGATGCTTGCATGGATTCTGAGGGTCCTGGCAGCAAGGACCATACACCAAGCCAGGAGCTTGCACTTACACAGAGTGTTGGGGGTGACGCCAGTGCAGATCGACTCTTCCCACCTCAGGTACCTCTGCCCAAAAGTCATCTCAATCTGTGGACTTATGTCTGAGTAAGGCAGCCATAAATGTAAGATAAACCAGGGCATAATTCAGCAATCTTCCTGATTGGGAATGGAGTGGGACCTGTACCTTTAAGAGTGTCAGAAAATCAGATAGAAAGGAGGGATCAGGGCCACGAATCTATGAAGGAAGGTAAGATGACCAAATACCACCTCACACAGTGGATCTGTTGCGATATCCGTTACCTGGACGTCAGTATCTTGGGGAAGTTTGCAGTTGTGATGGCTGACCCGCCCTGGGATATTCACATGGAGCTGCCCTATGGGACGCTGACAGATGATGAGATGCGCAGGCTCAACATCCCTGTACTGCAGGATGATGGCTTTCTTTTCCTCTGGGTCACAGGCAGGTAATGTAGTTCAAAGATATGTAGGAATGGCAGCTATAGTACACAGTAAGTAAATATTAGGTTTTTCCTATCCCTGCTGTTAAAAGGTATGACTGATACAGCCTTTTCCCTTATGGAGCTTTAATGATTGAGTGTAGCAGAAATACTCAATCTAACTGTATTTGCTCCTTGAGAAACATAGGCCATTGAGAATAGATGATATATTTAATCTTTTCATGTTTTGATATGCCCTTGTATGTAAATATGCAGTGAACATCTACTAAAAAAACAAACATGCATGTCTTTATAGGGCCATGGAATTGGGCAGAGAGTGTCTGAACCTTTGGGGGTAAGTAACAATTTTTTAAAGTTTTCCCCGAGGGAAATAAATACTTCTATAGTTGTAAGAATTACGTTGAGAGAAGGGGTGACACTGTCTTGATTTATGTAACTGTAACCCCTTTGTACACCACCTTTATAATTAAAAACAAAAAATTATGTTCTGAGTCCTTGCCTCTAGGTGGCACTTGTCTCTATAGTGTGAAAGCCTGGTTAAAGCTCTCTTTATCATCCAGTTATGAGCGAGTAGATGAAATTATCTGGGTGAAAACCAATCAACTGCAACGCATCATTCGGACAGGACGTACAGGTCACTGGTTGAACCATGGGAAGGAACACTGCTTGGTAAGTAGCAGTAGGGCCCAATTGAATAGGAGAAATTGATTTATTTCAAATAGTTCAAAAGCCGTGGTTTCATAAGGTGATACTGTTCTGTGATAAGCAGGTTGGTGTCAAAGGAAATCCACAAGGCTTCAATCAGGGTCTGGATTGTGATGTGATTGTAGCTGAGGTATGTGTTGAGGCATCTAATTTTAACATTCTTACTGTTGATGTCAGATGTATTTCTTTTCTTTTTTTTTTGGGTCTGGTCGTGGGGCCTGAACTCTGGGCCTGGGCGCTGTCCCTCAGCTCTTCAGCTCAAGGCTAGCGCTCTACCACTTGAGCCACAGTGCCAC